TCCAAACTGGCTTGGGAAGAAAAGGACATTGGCATGTGCAACCCAACTGCCCTGGGGCTGGGCTGCTCCCAGGTGCTCAGACAATGTTGTCACAGATGTGACTGCGACCATCTCTTGGCTCAGCCTTTCCTTGTGTGGTAGCAAGAGCCACCACAGCACCATACTTTTATTCTATGAAGTTGGCAGCAGAGGCAGAGAAAAAGTGCCTCTTTCTGAGCAATTCAAAAGTCTGAGTAGCCCTGGCTGGTGTGGCTCAGTGGATTGAGTGCCCGCCTGCAAACCAAAGGGTTATTGGTTGGATTCCCAGTCAGGGCACATGCCTGGTTGCGGGCTGGGTCCCCAGTAGGGGGCGCACGAGAGGCAACACATTAATGTTCCTCTCCCTCTCTCCTTCCCTTCCCCTATCTTCAAAAATAAATAAAATCCTTAAAAAAAAAAAAAGCCTCAGGGCCAGTTCTCAGTGGACAGCTTGAATGAGGTGCTGTTCCCTGACCCACCCAATCATCATAGTTAGGAAGAAGGCCTTACCCTGATGTGCGCCTGCCAGGCCTGGGTCATGTGTCTACATTCCTCACCAAAACAGAAGTGGCATGCACCACACTTGACCACAAGGACCAAAAATGGGGGCAGATGACTTCCCAAAAGAAAATCAGCATTGCCTCCAGAAGAAAGGGAATTAGTGTTGTAAGCTGCAACCACAGAATTCATCAGTAGATGGCTAAGCCTTTTCCCAAGCAGGAGGAGCATTGCTGGGAGAAAGAGTGGCAGGCCTAAAAGGTAGGAAAGTTAGGTTAGGGTCAGGCTACCTGCTCAAGTTAGATTCATCACCTAAGGCAAAAAGTTCTCAACTAAGCGATATCATGTTCAGTATGGCTATCTTGAGCTTGACACTATCCCGTGAGTACACCTAGATTTTGCTTCCAGAAAAAGGAAAGCACCACAATAATTTGTCTGCTCTATCAGTAGTCACTGTGGCTCTAAGAAGTCAACAGATAAGATAAACGTTGTGTTAGGTGCAATTACCAGGTTTACAACTGTAACAACACTCCTTTCTCCAGCCAATTGATATGCATGGGCAAGTGGTGTCACAGAGGTAACCAAGGATGGTTTTCACCCTCAGCTCACAAGCTGCAGGAAGTGCAACGCCCTCCAGGAGATATCTGCGAGTTGTAGGAAGCTCATTTTGGCCTTGGACGAGCGCCTCCACTCTGCTCTACATTCCTTCATTCATCCGACAGTTACTGAACGTGCCCAGCTCTCTGGGAGAGGCTTGCTACCTGACAGAGCAGGAACAAGAAGACCCAAATCCTTGCATTTGTGGAGTTTCCATTCTAGAGGGGAAGAGAGGACAAGTCATAAAACTAATGGGGAAAATATATAATTAAAAGGAAATAAATGCTAGAAAAATAAACAAAGCAGAGAAGGGAGAGGTAAGCTGGGCATGCACTTTGCAGTTTCACATGGACTGTGAGGGCAGGCCTCCAAAAGGGGTGGCACTGGGACAGAGTCTGAAGGGGCGAGAGGTGACCGGATACCCAGCAGAGGGAAGGCCGAGCACGAAGCATGGGGTTTGTTAGAGAAGGAGGAAGGTGGGGTGGCCGGAGAAGGGTGGGGGTGGGGCGGAGCAGAAGACAGGTGGGTTTGCCTCTCACCTCCTTCAGATGTTCTGGATTTTCTCAGCTCCTTGAGGAAACTTGGCACCTGCTCCTGGGTTCCTCCCCACAAAAGCATCTGTGTGAGCAGCTCTCCTAAAGGATGGGGGCAGTGAGGAGGTTTACTTGCAGCAAAGCAGACCACTCATTCTCAACAGACCTACTGCATGTCGCTGCTGGGAGCATCTCGCTGGCCTTTCCAAGAAGGTCCGGCCTCCTGCCTTGGTCCCCAGCACAGCCTCCTCCCCCAGACCCTTCTTGGAGTCCTCTCACATTTCTCCCTAGAGCTTTCCCCTAATGTCTGCCTCCAGATCCTGTCTCTGCACATTTAAGACTGGTCCTTGTCTCTGCATAACTCGGGGCTACCCACTAGGCATGGAGCATCTCTCTTACAGTCCAGAAGCTCCAGCAGGGACTTGGAAATTTCCAATTTCTCTGTCTCCTTTGTCTCTTTCTCTGTCTCCATACATGAATAAGAACAGCACAGATGTGTAGTTTTCCACTAATACAAACTATGCTTACACACACTTACCCACCTTTTCTCTCTCACACACACTTTGGGAGGTGATACTGTAAGTTTCCTCTCTAAATAATTTTTGTCATCTTGATACAAATAAACTTTCTGATTGTCTTTTTTTAAAAAAAAAAAAAAAAAAAAAAAAAGGAAAGTGGGTATGAGTAGCCCAGTTCCAGAGTGTTCCATTGGTGTACTGCCCTGGCATTGTGTAGTCCCCAACCTGCACAGCTGTATGAGGCAGCTCTGGCTATTTCAAGTGACACAGAGCAGGCAGGCACGCAGGCCGCTGACCCCCCTGCACCTCCTCTGTTGCTGTGATAAGGAATGTCTTACTTTCGTTAGGATAAAGCCTAAAGAACTTTGGTGTGTTTTTCTCTCCAGTAGGGCAGTCTTCCCTTTTTCACCCTTACTCACCCCTGCTTCTCCCCACTCCCATCCCCAGCAGCAGCAGCCCATCCTAAGCAAGAAGGCCATGTTCTTTGTAGGGCAGGTCTCAGGCTTATGGGGTGAGGGTGGGAGGGCAAGAGCCTCCATTATAGCTGCAAAGCCTGATGTATGAAGCGGAAAAGAGGAGGAAGAAAAGAGAAAGGAGAAAGGGGCAGAGTGGACTTGCCTTCTCCTTGACCCAAGACCACTCCTGTTTCTACTTTGTTGTCCACTGAACTAGTAGATTCTCCATGCTCCAAGGAAGAACACACCTGAGTACCTGCTTGGGGCAATCTCCTTGCTTATTTTCCAGCTCAATTATGATTTGTCTTTTCTCTCTTCCTTTCTTCTTTTGTTCTGTCTTGCTTTCCTTTTTTTCCTTCTTGGAGTGTTCCCTTCTCTGCTCCCACCCTCTTCATCCTCATATACCCTGGGGCTAAAAGGCTTCAGAACTTCACCGGAAGCCTCTGGGTAAAGTCCTTTTGAAAAGCCAGGCCATCCTGGGGAAGTGAGTGGCGGGGACTTTTCTTTCCCAGAGGACAGAATTCACACTGGGGTGGCTTCTGCTGCTAGCTTGTGGTGACATGCTGTGACTAAGCCAGAGTCACCATGATTAGTCATGCACAGCAGGAAAGGTGACTTGCTCCCCTCTCCTTCCTGGAGCAGGCCCAGGGGTGTGTGAAGTGGGTCTGGGAGAGGTGTGTTATTCGTCTAAGATCATAACCCAGGACTGACTCATTCTTCAAAACGTCTACTTCTGCCATCCTCCCCCACCTGCCACCTCCACCACTCGTATCCCAGATGTGGGAGAATGAAACAGGCTGGCTCTCTTCCCCACAGCATTTGAATCTCGGCTCTCCCCTTGGCAGCTTTGCCTTTGGACAAGTTACTTAAGCTTGCTGAGCTTCATCTGTGAATGGAGATAGTTGTAAAATACCAATTCATGAGGCTGTTGAGAAGGTTAAATAAAATGATCTACACAAAGGCAGCACTATACCTGGAAGGTAGAATTCTCTGAATAAATGTTAGCTATTAGCTGTTACTATAAAAAAATTATGGGATGTCTCCTATATAAATAAGGTGCTCGACCTTTGAGGTGCTCTATCATGGGATACAAACAGACCTGTAAATGAAAGATTACAGTACATTGGGTAAGAACTGTAATGGAGATAATATGGACATAGTGCTGCCCATACAGAGAGGGAGTGATGTGGAAAGGAAAGGGGAGGCATTTGAGTTTGAGATCCCAAAAGGAGTAGAAGGGTGTTTCAGAAAGAGGAAACACAAGTTTCATGTAGAAGCAGTTAAGAGGAGACTGTGGTCCAGTTTTATGCTGTGAGATCAACTGGGAGTCTTTAACACCTGGAAACTGTTAAAAGTTTTACACAGGATAGCCACAGTCTCGGGGTTGTAATTTAGAAAGAGCACACTGCCAGATGTGTGCAGTGCAATTAGGGACAGCAAGACAATAAGAGCACCATTGAGCACTCTGTTCAATGGAATACAGATATAGATATGAAATACAGAGATAGAGGTGATCATGAAGGTACAGAGAGTAGAAGATACCTATGGCCACAATTAGGGTTTAGAAGAATCTGGGCATCCGATGACTTGAGAGCCTCAATACGGGGAACTCTAGACTTCTACCCCACTTGGCACATTCTGTTCTCTTTGTCTTTTTTTTTTTTTTTTGGTGCCGAAACCCGGGAACCCCTTTGTCTTAAATGCCCTTCCCCTCTTGTCATGAACATTCATTCAGCACATGACACCTCCTCTGGGAAGCCCTCTTGCATCCCTTCACAGGCTGGGTTATGGGTCCCTTCTCTTGTTCCTAGAGCCCTCGTCTGTTCCCTATTCGTTAGCATGGCATATTTTTGGACTGTTTCTGGTTTCTCCCACTAGCCTGAGAATCCAATGAAGAAAGGTCTCTCAGCCTTGATCATCTTTGCTCCCACAGGGCAAATGTATCAAAAACTGCTGAATCAATCAACGAAAACAAGACCTTTAGGTGGTGTGGGGAGGGAGAAGCTGGAGGGAACCGTCGGAAAAAAGACCGCCTCAGGCAGCTTAGGCCTTGGGGCCATATCATTTTTTTCTATTCCAGTTGTCTCATTGGTGCTACCTTGAAGTCCTGGGCCATCCAGGAACTTGAAGTCCGGCGGAACCGCACGGTCAACAGCAAAGATATATACAACGGCCCACGGCGGGCTGAGGCCCCGCCCATGGCCCCAAACTCCGCCACTCCCTCTTCTGCAATCCCGGTTCCCGCCAGGCGGCGACGCCCGTGAGGCCGCATGCGCAGTGCGTGCGCCAGCGGTCCCTTGCCCTTCTCCTAATGGCGGGCGGTGGTCCCTTTCCCGGCATCCTCCTGGGGAATAGGGAGTGCGTCATTTCCGCTCGGGAAGGCCCGCGGCCGCCGCCGCCATTTCGGGCGCTGCTGTTAGGCTGAGACCCGAGCCGGTCCGCTGGGCGGCGGGCGACGGAGCTGGAGAGGCGCGCGCGCGGCGGCGGCGGCGGCCCAGCGTGTAGGCACCGAGGCGGCCATGGCGGGCAACTTCGACTCGGAGGAGCGGAGTAGCTGGTACTGGGGGCGGTTGAGCCGGCAGGAGGCGGTGGCGCTGTTGCAGGGCCAGCGGCACGGGGTGTTCCTGGTGCGGGACTCGAGCACCAGCCCCGGGGACTATGTACTCAGCGTCTCCGAGAACTCGCGCGTCTCCCACTACATCATCAACAGCAGCGGCCCGCGCCCACCGGTGCCACCGTCGCCCGCCCAGCCTCCGCCCGGTGAGGGACGGGCAGGACGGGAGGCCCCGGGCGGGGGTGAGGGCCGTGGAACTTCCCAGCCTGGCCGGCTGCTCCTCGCGAGCTGACCCCCACGAGGGACGTGGGCAGAGGGCTGGAGTGACTGTGGCAGGAGGCGGCTTGCTGCCGGGGCGGGTTCGCACAGACCAGCGGGAGTGCGTGGGGGAGGAGGAGCCGCTGACCCGGGCCTCTGGGTGTGACTTGGGAGGACAGCCCAGGGGAAGGGGAACTGCTTTGGCCCCAGGGTGGGGCTAGCGCCCGGGCCAAGCACAAGGGCAGGGCTGGGCAACGTGGGGACAAAGAGCTGAAGGGGATGTTGGTACTGCGGGGGCATCACTTGGCAGCAGTGCTCAGAATGAATCCGATAATCCTACAAGTGGCTTTTTAGGCTTGAAACATTTCCTGCAATGTTGGAGAGCTGGGTTTGGCTATACTCCACTGGTGGCCTTTGGTAGGAAGTCACCACATACAGGCCGGGAGGCATGGAGACACCCTCAGGAAACCGGTCAGCTTTTTCCTTTCTTGGGCATTTTTCCGAAATACTTTTACCGTCTTTTTCCTCCGCGGAGGTGAGCTCAGTGCCTTGGTGATAGAAAGCAAGCCCTTTGTGGCCAGCCCAGAATAAGTCTATGCTCGGCTGACTGTCTAAGAGTCTTAGTGTCCAGAAAACTGTTCTCCACATACAGTTAGGGGGTTCTAGTTTTCAGTGTTTAGTGGAAGGGAGATTTTTTTTTCCCCAGGAAACAAACCAGAAATAAGCCAATGGAAACAATTCCTTCTCTGAAAGTGAATGGAAGGAACTTCATTTTTCCTGGGACTTAAACATTGTCACTCGTGTACTCCAGGGCCCCTTCTTGCTCCGTAAGTTGGGGCTGTGGCTTGAGTCTCTTTAGGGGGAACAGACCCTTGCTGGGCAGATTCTCTGGGAATTTAAATTATCTGCATTGGGCCTTCTTTGCAAAGATCATTGAGATATGGCTGTCTTACCCATGCCTTTGGAGTTGGGGAAATATGAAGGAGATTTATGCCCCTACTACTTGAGGTTTGTGAAATCCAGGGTGATTCTGAGGTGATCATTATCTTGGTAACAGGGCCAAGAGTCCTAGTGCCTTCTCACTGTTCCCAAGTTGAAGCATTTTCTTTCTGACCAGCTGAGACTAGATGCAGGCCAGTCTCAAGTGAATTAGGAAGTTCCTGAACCGGGCTTTGCAGACTTACCCTTTCAGGATAATCCCAATTTAGATTTATTTACTCTGGCCAGAAATAGGGGAGACAGTCTCTTTGTTGTTAATGCACACCAGTTTAAAAGAGTATGGGATCTTTGTAAATTATTCTAGGTCGTTCCCAGTCTGGTTGGTTTAATAGCATTATAACATGAGATGGGAAAATTGATGTGATGTATTTGCTCTGTACCAGATATATTCTACTGCAAAATACCCTGGTGTTTAGGGTATTTTGTTACAACTCAGTGACAAGATGGCAAACTGTCAGTGAAACTTCATTCTCAGCGTTTTGTTTGTGTATGTGTTTTCTTGGTTGCAAATTTTGGAAATGGCAGCAGGCAGGTTTTTTAATTTGAGCTTTCTGCACACCTTGGCATTATGGCTCTATCTCAGCACCTCCCTTGATACCGAGTTCCACCTTTTCATAATATATGAGTTCAGATCCTTGGCGCAAGAGAGAAAGTGAAGATTGCCAAAGTTTGTCAGTGGGGTGGGGAAAGTATGGGCAGTGAGGTAATTTCTGTCGCATACCCTATTTTCCATGTAGGGTAATTGATTCACTTGTCTTTATAAAGAATATTTAATCTTTGTTCTCACCCTCCCCCATCAAGCTCTTTTTCTTTTGAAACCATACAGAATTTCTAATAGAAACCTCTGAGTTTTAGAAGGACAAAGGACATATACAATATTAATAGCTAATATTTACTGACTGGCTATTCTGTGCCAGGTACTTTGCCTCATCTCATTGACTGTCTCTAACAATCTAGTGAAGAATGTACTGTGATCTCTGTTAAAATACTTCCATTTTATAGATGAGGAAACTGAGAATCAGAGAGTCAGTAACTTGCCCAAGGTCACACAGCTTGTAAATACTGAGTCATAATTTAAGCCCAGGAATTTTGACCTGAGAGCTGACACTATTACACTTTATTCCTTTCTGTCAAAGCCAGTTAACTTTCAAAAAAACTTACTGATACGAGAGAGAGAGAGAGAGAGAGAGAGACAGACAGACATTGGTTTGTTGTTCACTTAGTTACGCATTCATTGGTGGTTTCCCGAATGTGCCCTGACTGGGGATCAAGACTGCAACCTTGGTGTATTGGGACACTGCTGTAACCAACTGAGTTACCAGGCCAGGGCCAAAGCCAGTTTCCTTTTAGGATCTCAGCAGTGCTCATAGAGGACTCAACACTTTTGTGTCTGTCCTAGGGTCCCAGATTTTTGTTTAAAGACCAAAAGGAAAGGATGGTGAAGAAACTGGCTTTAGTGTTCAGACAATACACATTTGCAATCTAACAGTCAGTGATGAAGAGGCTTTTAACTTTCTTATTTGGCAAATTGAATATGGAAAATGAGATTTTTTAAAATTATTTTTAAAGATTTTATTTATTTTTAGAGAGGGGAAGGGTAGGAGAAAGGAGAGAAACATCAGTGTGTGGTTACTTCTTGCACGCCCCCTACTGGGGACCTGGCCTGCAACCCAGGCAAGTGCCCTGACTGGGAATCAAACCAGTGACCGCTTGCTTTGCAGGCGGGCACTCAATCCACTGAGCTGCACCAGCTGGAGCTGGAAAATGATATTTTTGCTTAGGATAACATTATGTGTGTTGTGAGTATAATAGGTAGAATTTTTTAAAAATTTTGTGTTTATTGAAGCTGGGAACAGTGAAACAAAGGAAGGGCTTACCATAGAAGAAGCAACAGGAGAAAGCCCAGCTGGTGCTCTGCTTCGGCTGCCTAGAAATGTTACAGGAAAGAAGTGGGCCAAGGCCGGGCTGCTGTCAGCTCCCTGGGAAGGCAGGGAAAAGGGGCCTTGAAGACAGGTTCAGGGGCTTAGCCCGCCAGGAGTCATTAGCTGCTCCCTTAGTTGTAAGTCTCATGGGGACCCTTAGGATTTAGGAGAGAAAGGTAAAGGGGCACACCTGAGACGGAAGAAAGGCAGGGGTCGCATGTTTCAGAAATCCTGCCACGTAGGTAGAATTTGTTTGGAATGGCATAGATGTAATTTTTTGAGGCTTAGGGATAAAATAGGTCTCAACCTTTTCCAGTGAACCTATTTTTAATTTATCTTGGGTGTTCAACTCTTACAAAATAGGGATGTGGCATATGCTGGGAGTGCCCTGGCTGTGCTCCAGTGCCATAGGTCAAGTCCGTGGGTCGTACCCTTGTCAGGTGGGACTTCAGGGTATACCTCTTGGGAAGGCTTTGCAATCATTGATCCACTCGTTTCTTTCTCTTGACCAGTTGACAAAACTGAGTAAGCTGGGAGAGTAGTTACAAGCCTGAACTCTAGCCTGGGTTTGAATCATACCTGACATTTACTAAATGTAACTTTGAGCAAGTTCTTTAACTTTTTCTCTGCCTCAGTTCCTCATGTGTGAAAGAGGGAAAATAGTAATACATCATAGAGTCATTGGAGGGATTAAATGAGTTTTAGTGCATTAAACATTTAGGAATGGGACTGGCATAGAGTAAGTGCCTAATAAGTATTAGATACCTCAATGTTAGGAACATAACTATGAAGTTGGGAGGGAGGAGCTGAAACAAAATGGAAAACTTTTCAGCATTGATAGGGCCTCAGAAAGCACAGTTGGTGAGCATACTGAAACAGCATGTCTTAGGGCCCTGACGCTTGCGGGTCCGTTGGTTGGGTGCTGTCCCACCAGGTGAAAGGTCCCCAGGTCAGTACCAGTCAGGGCACATGCCCGCGTTGCTGGTTTGGATCCCTGGCCAGGGCATGTGCGAGAGGCAGCTGATCGATGTTTCTCTATCTTTCTCCCTCCCTTCCCCTCCCTAAATCTTTTTTAAAAAAGCTCTGGCCGGTGTGGCTCAGTGGATCAGGTGTTGGCCTGCGAACCGAAGGGCTGTGGTTGGGCTCCTGGTGGGACTCATGCCTGAGTTGTGGGCCAGGTCCCTGTTGGGGGTGTGTTGGGAGGCGGCCAACTGATGCTTCTCTCACCCATCAAAGTTGCTCTCCCTCTCTGTCTTCTTCCCTTCCCCTCTCTCTAAAAATAAATAAAATTTAAAAAATTTTAAAAAAACACCCCAGCATGTCTTAGGGAGTAAGCGCTGGGGTGGAGGAGAGTGAGCTGCATCAAGAGGTGTGAAAGGGCCTTGGATCCAGTGTATGGAAATAGGATGGCACCTATTACATGCCCAGCTGTTGCCCTAGTGGGTGAGGGTAGCATAAAAGCTTGCCTCGTTTTGAGGGTTGGGGTGGGCAGAAGCTAGGGTGGTAATTGTTCTGCTAAAGCCACTTCTCTGGAGATCCTGTGGGACTGCTACTTGCCACTAAGTGCCACTTCACTGCCACTTCTTTGTACCTTCAGTATCTCTGTTTCATTTGTTTATTTCATCTTCGCAGTTCTCAAACCTGGTCCTCATGTTTTACTCAATGTCAGTATCCCTTCATTCAGTGGTTCTCGAAAAGTTCTTCATTGACTTACTTAGAGATTTTACACCCCCAAAAAAGATTCCACGGTGAAACGGAGTGGGTTTATTTGTTGCAGGACTTCTCCAAGCCTTTACTATGCCCATGTGACATTACGACTCTCCAAGAGAGGCAGGTATTGGACACTGGGTTTTTTCAAACTTATTTGATCACAGAACTTGTTGAGAAGCAGCTTGAGATTCTGTGGATTCTTCTCTGGGAAACAGCCAACTTTGGATTTGGGAATAAATTGAAAATTTCTAAAGAAATTTGGAGGTTGGGTGTGTGTGAAGCTGGATTTTCTTTTTTCTTTTTTTTCTGAGCACCTATAATGGTTACTTTTGGGAACTTTATTGGGTATTTGGCCCCATGATATATTAAAAAACAGTTCATACAGCTAGTAAATGACAGAGAGGATGCTGTCACAGGTGGAAGTAAGGGGTCTTTTTAGCCCTTGGTATTGAACAGCAGTGGGGACTGTTTATCGAAGCAACCTCTATAAATACCATAGGCTGAGGACAAGGGAGAGAGGGAGTGGGAATGAAGGAAAGGGGAGGAGGAAGGGAGGTGCTGTGAGATCAAGAAGAGGCTGGTGGTAGAGCCACTCTGGAGGTATCCGTGCCAGAAGTGACCTGGCCTGTTCTAGCCCACAGAGCTTTTGCTTGTTCTTTACAAAACTTGCAGGGAATAGTATGGTAAAAATGGATGTAACCTTAGGGCTAAAATGCTTAAATGTAGTAAGACGAGCATGTACAGAAACCAAAACAATAACTGCTTGCATTGATTTCTAAATATATATATTATTTATTTTATGAGGGGGGAAGAAGAAAGGGGGAGAAACATCGAGTGGGGGCTTCTCGCATGCCCCTCAACTGGGGACCTGGCCCACAACCCAGTCATGTACCCTGACTGGGAATCCAACAGACCAGCACTCAGTTCACTGAGCTACACCAGCCAGGGATGCTTGCATTGATTTTGATTTTTGGATGTGTTAGTTTAAATTGCGTGTTCAGAATCCAGCACGAGTTTGATGTAGCACAAGTCAGTGAGGTTTCATAGTCCCAGCAATGAGAACCATATCGTTGGTTCTGCTCTCTGGGCTGACTGGCTGACTATATCTCCTTCCTTTCCTGCCTTTCTTTTTCCTGCCTTTGGCTGTTTGTGGTTGGAAGGAGATGAACTAGGGAAAAGGAACTGGAACACATAGTTGGGGTGAAGTTTGGGCTTATCTGTAACATATATATTCTTTTTCTCTCCCTTCCCTTCTGGAGTTTGAATCAACAAAACTTGACTACCCCGTATATCTAACTGTTCCAGTAGTACACAAAAACAGGTATTCCTCTGTGGAATTATTATAGTGCCATTAGAATAAAGAATTTATAGGTAGCCCTGGCTGATGTGGCTCAGTGGATTGGGTGTCAGCCTGCAAACCAAAGGGTCGCTGGTTCGAATCCCAGTCAGCGCATGCCTGGGTTTTGGGCCAGGGCCCCAGTAGGGGGTGTGGGAGAGGCAACCACACATGGATGTTTCTCTCCCTCTCTCCCCCTTCCCCTCTCTCTAAAAATAAATAAACCTTTAAAAAAAAAAGTTAATAGGTAATGTTGAAGATTTTCCTTGGTGTTTAACTTGTATTTCTGGGACCATTGGGATTGTCAAGATTGGCAGGGGGAGATCATTGTGGACTCAGTTTACACCATGAAGCATTTGAACAAGAAATGAATTGAACCAGCTTCCTACTTTTATGGCAGATAAGCTTCGAGTTTTTCTTTTCAGAATTCGCACAGAGATCTTTGAAAGGGACTTGGCTTAGTGGTCTTATTTGTTCTAAATCCACCCCCCACCAAAAAATTTTTTACTTGGATTAGTACAGTAATGGAGCCATAACAATGGATGGCAGGGAGTGGTTGCCTCCTTCTAAGAATTAAAAGGGTGCTTTGCAAATGGTTAGGGATGGTCAGAACTGCTCTTTCATTGTGGTTTTGTTGTATCTGAGAACAAGGTTTGTTGTTGCTACATTTTGTTGGGGTTTTTTGGTTTTTGTTTTTTTTTGGGTTTTTTTTTTTTTTTGAACACATCTTCAGTTGAAAGTGAAAGCCAGGGTCGGGGGCGGAATGATGTCTAAAACATGCTGTTTTGCTTCTTGCTCACCAACCACCTTGGTATGTTTTTGTAATCCCAGCTATGCTGTGAGCTCAAATCTGGGAACAGATTTTCATTTAACTTTCCCTTGCTTTAGAGTTGTCTTCATTAAGAGAAACAACTAACACTTCCTGAGAGCTCACTGCCTGCCAGCCACTGTTGAAAAGGTGACCAGTGAAAACCATTTGGCTGTTGCACCTTGGCGTGTGGTTGGGTAAACTCTAGCGAGGGAGCTTTTCTCCCCAGGTGTCATCAGGACCATTTTTCTAAACCACGGGCTCTTCGCTGATGTGAGGGTTCTCACTACCACTCAGCCCCGGAGACTTCCGTGATCCAGCAGTGCTAAGTAGGTCTCCTTGGAGCTCGCAACTGACCGTCTGTCACAGTTCAGCTGGCTTAAAGATCACTGAATTGGCCTCGTGGTGATAGGCATGCATCTCCTTGCCTTCCAGACTGGAACAGCAATGATTTCTCATTGGTGATCTACTTTAGTGATGAGAAACTCCAGAGTGTAGCACCACCTCGCTCTGGTATGGTCTTAACCAAAATCATGTCTCCAATCCTGTACTTGGAACTGTTGGAGTTATCTTCTACTGGTGCTTAAGTGTTTGTCATAGATGGACAGTCCTGGGTCTGGGCATCTATTTCATCATCTTAAGTTGAATAAACAGCCAGCGTTACTGAGTGTGGGCTGCTAACTTGTTTTAGGCTACAGCTGTGAATTCCACAGATGGACTTTTGTAATTTAAGAAATGTGCAACTCTCCTTTAAATCATGCCTTGGTCTCTCATCATTCATTTGGGTAAAAAAGAGAAGGCACACTCATCAGTGCTCATTCTGTACTGAGGACTTCTGTTTAACTTCCAAAGCTTACCTTTTCACCCCTCCCCAGTAGAGGGTTTTAAATATAGTTCTTCTGGTCACTCTGGAGCAATGTTTTCTAACATTGAACAAAATAATTGGGTTTCTTTTTTTTTTTTTTTTTTTTTTTTTTGAGTGGCGAATTAATTTAGACATCTGGACTACCACAGTGTTGCTATTTCACAGCTTAATCACTATGGCTTTTAGGCGGGTGGGGCAGTGTTAATATAAGTGGAGAGAGTAGAATGGCACTTTTCCTTTAAAAAAGAACTTGAACAAGTAACCTTTACAAAAGAAGTACAAATACTCAATAAATATGAAAACTAAAGATATTTCAAAAGAGATAACATTTCTTAATAAATTGGCAGTGATTTTTAAAATGCTGTTTTGATTAAGGACATGGGGGATATGGGAGCTCATAAACCACTGATGGGAGTTTGAAAGTATACAAACTTTTTGGAGGGCAATTTAGCAACATAAATTTTTTTTTTTAAGGTTTTATTTATTTTTTGAGAGAAGATAAGGGAGGGAGAAAGGAAGGTTTTCAGGGAGAAAGTGGGAGAGAAACATCAATATGTGGTTGCCTCTCAGGTGCCCCCCACTGGGGACTTGGCCCTCAACCCAGGCATGTGCTTTGACTGGGAATCAAACCTGAGACCCTTTGGTTCACAGGCCCGTGCTCAATCCACTGAGCCACACCAGCCAGGGCTGGCAACATAAATCTTAATGTTCTTATCATTTGATCCTGCAGTTTCATTTCAAAGAGTTTATCCTAGGGAAATAATAAAAAATTCTCATTAATGCATAAGAACAAAAATGCTCCTAACAGCATCATTAGCACTAGTGAAAGGTTGGGAATACTTTATAGCCATTAAAAGTCATATTCTTGAAGAATATGGGAAATTAAAAAAAAATCAAGAAACAATTTTCTGTGAAGCTATTACTTATCAGAAAACCAAAAGGTAAAAAAAATCCAATAAAGATGATTAGATATTTTGGGTGCTTAGCAGAGTGCAAGAAAAAGGTTTGTATTCCCCATTAGAAAACTTTCTTACTTGAATTGATATATGTTCATTGGTTATTTTTCAGTTCTAGAACTCAGGATAGAGAGGGACCTGAAGTATACCCTGTGTCTTGGGCCACACACATCTCTGCATCATGAGAATTTTAAGCATTCCTAATATGTCCTTCGCCTTGGATCCTCGGTGTGTCACCAGAGGTTGAGGATTTTAACACTTCCTTATTTTTTTCCCCCAAGCATCTTTGTTTACCGTGTGTGTCTGTGTGTGTGTGTGTGTGTGTGTGTGTGTGTGTGAGTGTGAGAGAGACACTGAGAGAGACGCTTTTGCCTCTAAAGGAACCATCCAGTTTCTATGTTTTATTCAAGTGAAGGGTTTAGGAACTGATTTTTAAGCAGTTTCTTAGTTTCTAGTCAGGCTCCTCTGCGTTTTATTTTTCCTAATTAAGCCTTTTTTTTTTTTTTTTTTTTTTTTGCTGTTGTAAATGAAATTGATATCAGCAATCAGCCTTAAAACTATTTTTCTTTTAAATTGTAGAATACATTCTAGATGTGAAGAGAACAAATGTGTGAGTGTAGTGTAGATTCCAAGTTCTTCCTACCTTTTCCTGGAATAGCTGCTGGAACCTGTGAAAAAGGGAGCTTGCTACATTTCCTGAGGTTGAAAAGGAGATTGCAACAACAGCTTGAACCTTATGCTGCTGTATAAGTGCAGAACATTTTGGGAGAATGAACACAGTCTCCATGTTGCTGTTTTTGATCCAGCAAGGAGCCTGTCCTGAGTGTCTTGGTCTGACATGGCCTCTGCTCTAGTTCCTTCTCTGCTGCAGGTGGCATTGGGCATCTTCCTGGGAATGTTTCAGCTACAAAGTACGGTTTGTTTACTATGAGGAGAAGGGGTTATTTTTGCTAGACAGTTCTTTGTCCTGATTAAATATTGACTAAAGGTGTGGGGGAAATGCTTAAAACCTGTGTTTTTTTATCACCAGTATAATCCTTTAAATAATACCCTGCTCTGTTTTTTTCCAGGGGTGAGCCCCTCCAGACTCCGAATAGGAGATCAAGAGTTTGATTCATTGCCTGCTTTACTGGAATTCTACAAAATACACTATTTGGACACTACAACGTTGATAGAACCAGTTTCCAGATCCAGGCAGGGTAGTGGAGTGATTCTCAGGCAGGAGGAGGCAGAGTATGTGCGAGCCCTCTTTGACTTTAATGGGAATGATGAAGAAGATCTTCCCTTTAAGAAAGGAGACATCCTGAGAATCCGGGATAAGCCTGAAGAGCAGTGGTGGAATGCAGAGGACAGCGAAGGCAAGAGGGGGATGATTCCAGTCCCTTACGTGGAGAAGTATAGACCTGCCTCCGCCTCAGTATCGGCTCTGATTGGAGGTAACCAGGAGGGTTCCCACCCACAGCCACTGGGTGGGCCGGAGCCTGGGCCCTATGCCCAACCCAGCGTCAACACTCCGCTCCCTAACCTCCAGAATGGGCCCATTTATGCCAGGGTAATCCAGAAGCGAGTCCCTAATGCCTACGACAAGACAGCCTTGGCTTTGGAGGTACATAATGTGCAAAATATAGAAAGAAGAGATCTGCTACAGGGTCTCCCTTTCAGACCTCTTAGAGCTTTGTAGGAATGCTGAATACAAGCACCAGCATTGTGATGTTGTAGATGTTGAACCATTAAGTATTGATTTTGGCATTTAAAGTTGGGTTTTCTTTTTTTTTAGAAAACCTGTTTTGAAATGAATAAGCTTTAAAACTGTATAACTGAATGTTCTGATTGATCTACTAAACATACTTTGACTACTTTAATAACACCACCTGAATTCACAGAAATTAACCTAAATATTTTTTTCTTATCTACATTCTAATCTATTTCTTTCCATTTATCATTGTCTGAAATAAGGTGGGCTCACAAAGATTTGAGTATAATAAGTGATTCCTATCACTTAAGTTTCCCACAGAAACTTAATGTTTTTACTTTCAGGGCATGGGGTTCCTTACCATTGATTGATTTTGTTCAAGTAAGAATTCGGGAGGAAAAGTAAAGCATAATACAGGTGTGAAGAGATACATATCTAAAATTAGTAATTCCAAGGAGCAGCAGGTTTACTTGGTCTTTGTTATTTAATGCATTTTGCAGGTAAGAAAGCCAGTGTCTCCTGAGGAGTAACTTACTGCCTTTGCTGATAAGTAGTTATCCTTGGTAGCCTGTCTTCTCCAGCCAGTCACTGCATTGTCTTTATTCCCTTATTTCTCTCTATATCACTCATGGCTTTGTCTCTTTCCTTCCCCTGTTTTCCCTTCCTCTCTCCCTTCTTCCTCCTTTTCTCCCTCTCCCCCTTTCTGAGGTAAGCAGAGCTGGTAGTTTAGCATAAAAGCTGGTGCAGAGGTGGCATGCTATCCCATCTTTCAGAGCCTACTGATATTGTAACTCAGTGTGAGCAAGTAACTTTCTGAGCATAGGCTCAAGTTACGTGTGCACAGATTCGTTGAGAAGGGGCAAACGTGTTTTCTTTCTTTTTTTAAGATTTTATTTATTTTTAGAGAAAGGGGAATGGAAAGAGGCAGAGGGGGAGAGAAACATCACTCGGTTGCCTCTCGCACACCGCCAACCAGGGGCCTGACCCGCAGCTGAGGCATATGTCTTGACTGGGGATCAAACCAGCAACCTTTCAGTTCGCAGGCTGGCACCAATCCATTGAGCCACACCAACCAGAGTGCAAATGTATATTCCTGTAAACTGAACTCTTCTCTGAATTTTTTCTTTGGTTATATTCATATACTGAGGAGAAAGAGCTTCCCTCTGTCCAAGTGGGAGTGCAAGCCCACAGAGTAAACTAGAATTTATTCAAACCAGTCACTGGTACTGCTGGATTTGACATTTTTCTTTTACGTTCTGTGTAGTGGATGCAAAGAAGAGTTAGTTGTCTTATTGGTTTGACTGGGAAATGTGTTTTTGAAGTGTATATTCTTTGAGATCATGTTGTGACTTAAAAGTATCATGTCCCTGCTTTGAAGAGAAATGAAATGTAGGTTGTCTAGGCCTGGCCACTTTTTCCCCGCTTAGAGTTTGGAGGATAAAGAAAACAAGTTTCTAGCCTCATGTTTTTATTTAAGTTCAGATGATGCCAGGGTCCAGCACGGTGCTGTGAACATGACAGATGTGACTCTTGACGGTCATTGCAGGGCTTGTTAGCGCTGGGCTGGCGTGTGAAAACGGCATTCATAGAACAAGGCAGCTAACACCAGAAGAGAATAGGTATCACATTAATTTTGCTTCCATTTGCATTACTCTTTCTGAAAGAGAATTGTTTTTAATGATGCCTGCCTTGATTAGAGGCTTCAGTATTCAAAAGTGGTTGAGCTGCTCTCTCTGCTGTGAAATATAAATCTTGTGAAGTAAAGATTAGTAGAAAACTAGTTTATGATTTCAGTAAGTTTTCTGGTTGGATACTGGTTTTGAACCACATGTTGATGGCTGAAGATGGCCTCTTTCAAGTTAGAACAAATACCCCAAGTAATAGCTTTAAAACATCCTAAGTGATTAAAAACATGGTGCTAGTTTACCATCATAGAATTCTATAGCTGGAAAGGACCTTAGAGGTCCTTATTCATTATATTAAAAAACTTTGATGTTTAGACAGATCGAACGGATTGTTCCGACCAGCTGGAGGTAGAGATGATGAACCCAGGTCTGTCTCGCTGCCTTTTCTACCATACCCAGAGTCAGGCTGTGATTATGTTTGCTTTGTGACAGTGCTGCCGCCCTCCTCAGTGCAGGTTTTATGTGGGGTCACTGACAGCTTATGCTTAGTTGTACTATCTGTGCAGAGAAGCACAGTCCTTTCCCATTTCTGGTTTTTTATAGGAGCTATGCCTAGACCTTATTGCAATGAGGCTGGAAGATAAGATTAGGAGACTGGCTTTCTGACCTTCGAATTCTGGTTTAAAAAGACAACAGCAGCAGCAAAAATTTATTGCTATAATTGACCAACTATAAATCCCCATCTGTAGACCAGTTAGGTACATTTTAGTGGAGTTTTACACTTAACTTGAAATATTTTTCAATTATAGTTGACATACAGTATACACTTGAAATTGATTAATTAGAATCTTTGCATTTTATGTATGTATGTATTTTCCTTGAGGGCTTCTTTTTTTCCTTTCCTTTTTTTTTTAAGGTTTTATTTCTTTTTAGAGGGAGGGGAAGGGAAGGAGAAAGATGGAGAGAAACATCAATGTGTAGTTGCCTGTTGCGTGCCCCCTACTGGAGCCCTGGCCTGCAACCCAGGCATGTGCCTTGACTGGGAATCAGACCAGCGACCCTTTGGTTCACAGGCCAGCACTCAATCCACTGAGCTTTTTCCTTTCCTTTAAAACAAAAAATTATAGCCCTGACCGGCATGGCTTAGTTGGCTGAGCACTCTCCTGCAAAGCCAGAGGCTGCTGGTTCAATTTACCAGTCAGGGCATATGCCTGGGTTGTAGGGCCTAGTTCCCTGTTGGGGTATGAGCAAGAGGCAACCGTTGATGTGTCTTTCATACGTCTATTTTTTTCTCCCTCTCTTTCTTCCTCTGTTTCCCTCTCTCTAAAATAAATAAAATCTTTTAAAAAAAATTATAGTTGCTATACAATAGAGTCATCATATCTTAGAACTGGGCATGCCCTTAGAGATAATCAGTGTCCTAAGAGTTCCCAGGAGGTGCCTGGGGAGAAGAAGCTGAAGATGCAAGGCTGTGGGTTCCCTTTCTTCCTTTAAAGTAACTTTTTAAAAAAAAAATTTAAGTTTATTCATTTTAGTGAGAGAGAGAGAAATACCAATTTTTTTTGTTGTTCCACTAATTTATGCATTTACTGGTTGATTTTTGTATGTGCCCTGACTGGAGGTTAAACCTGCAACCTTCATGTATGGACATGACACTCATATCAACTGAGCTACCAGCCAAGGCAGTAACTCTGTGTTTAACTGTGTTATATGTTAGGGTCTCTCCAAGATTTTTTTAAATTATTTAATTATTTGTTTATAAGGGAGGGAGAAAGAGGGAGAGAAACATCCATTGGTTGTCTCTCGCATGTGCCCTGCTGGGGACCTGGCTTGAAACTCAGGCACATGTCTTGACCAGGAAACCAACTGGAGACATTTTACTCTGCAGGTTAAAGCCCAACCAACTTGAGCCACACTGGTCAGGGCTAAGATTGATTGATTGATTTTGAAGAGAGGATTTTTGTATTATCAAACAATAAATTAAAAACACAGTACTCAGCCTTGGTTCAGTGGGTTGAGTGCCGGCCAGTGAGCCAAAAGGTCTCCAATTCAATTCCCACTCAGGACACATGCCTGGGTTGCAGGCCAAGTCCCTAGTTGGGGGTGTGCGAGAGGCAACCAACTTCTGTTCTCTCACACATCGATGTGTCTATTCCTGTTTCTCCCTCCCTTCCCCCCTCTCTGAAAAAGAATAAATGAAATCTTAAAAAAACAAACATAGTACTCAAAGAACAACCTGCCCTTGCCTTATTACAGATGGATGTTTCTTGCATGGTATATTTGCTGTGACCAGAGTCCTCTACTAGAATATAAATTATTAGATACTTTCTCCTTTCCCACCCTCTGGATTTCTCTATTAGGAATAAAGATTCTGGAAAGAGGGGGATAATTCTAGTTAACAACCAAAGCAGGAGTATTCTGCCTGTTAGAGTTCAGCCTAGAATAATTCTGTAATTTCCATTCTCTGATTCAACCTGGCATTTTTCATTTAATAGATGATAAAACTTCAGAGAAACCAAGGAGCTTCTGTGGTGGTCTTAGGCTTAGACCTGTTCTTCAGGGCACAGATAGGGAAGCTGCAAAGTGCTTTGGGTCCCTGGTTATATGTAACAATGATTATATCAACGCCACATCTCCCCACATGGAACTCTGTGAAACATAAGTTTGTTAAGACCTTTTAACCTATGTATGGAAAACAGGAGTTAAGACCCCAATTTCCCCTTTGTTAACAGAAAATAAGAGTTTGGAGGTTAGAAGAACATGAGTGGCATGTCCGTGCCATGTCCAGTTTGTCTTTTCCTGGTATAGGAGGTCTAGAGTTCTGTATTGCTCATTGAGACAGGTGTCTTGTCCTTCTTCCTTCCCTCCTGTTTGGACATCTTCATTTGAAAACATAGAATGTCAGTGGGAAGAGATTTTGGAAGCAACTAATCCAGCCTCTCAGACATTGAAGGCAGGCCCTCTGGTATCTTCCTGGGTGAATTTTAAACATCTGTTCGAATATCTCCACTTTGGGGGAACTCGCCATCAACCACAGGTCAGGAGGTTTCAGACTTTCTTGGTCCATAGCACCCATTACATCTCAGTGCTCTTTCACAGGGCGCCACGCCAGGAGATACATCTAACAGTTCCATTTACTACGTAGGTAGGTTCAAACAATGTAAATATTTGTATCCCAATAATTAGTACCCATTTGAAAAATACAATAAACATAATTGAAATAAAAGTGTTTTAATTTTAATCTTAAATAACTGCAATCACTTAACTAATGAGGTGCACACCTATTAG